GAACTTTAAGGATCGTTTTGCCTGGGACTCCGATTTAATTCTACATGATACTTGGAACGCTGACACCTCCCTTCTCTGCCTTCTTCTTTCCTCCTTCCTCCTTCCCCTTTCTTTCCCCTCTCCTCCTCCCTTCTCCTCTTTCTTACCCTCTCTCCTACTACTCTTAATTCTTAATGGGTGGGGTTGTTCTTGATCCACAGAATCTGCCTTTTGGTGTTGTCCTCATCGTACCTGGCCTTCCGAATCTTCCGGCTGGAGCAGCAACTCTCCTCCTTGAACCAGGATTACCTTTCCCGAGGATCTCAAAGGTAAGAGATTATTCTGAGGTTTCCGTAAAAAAAGGAAAATCAAAAGATGTACATCCAATTTTTAATCTCCAAAAGGTGGACTACCAAACAGGATATGTGTACATGGCAAACATGCATTGGGCTTTTAATTCTTTGTGAGACTAAAAGCGCAGTCTTCGTATGATAAACTTGCCAGTTTGTGGAAAACAGTGAAAATAAACTAGGTTTTTTAAAAAAAATCAAACTAATAGTTTCAAAGTTAAAAAAAAATCACACTAAAGAAGCAATGGATGGAAACTAATCAAGGAGCAAAGTAACCTAGGACTAAGGAGGAATTTCCTGACAATTAGAACAATTAATCAGTGGATAACTTGCCTCCAGAAATTGTAAATGCTTCAACAATGGAAGATTTTAAGAAGATGTTGGACTACAATTTGCTTGAAATTATGTAGGGGTTCCTGCTTGAGTAGGGGGTTGGTCTAGAGGACCTCCAAGGTCCCTTCCAACTCTCTTATTCTGTTTCCCAAAAATGAGTATGTCTTCCCACTTGTGTAAAAGAAGAGTAGGGCTAAGAGTAGTGGCTAAGACGGTGAGATTGTTGATCAGAAAGGTCGGCAGTTCAGCAGTTCGAATCCCTAGTGCTGCGTAACAGAGTGAGCTCCCGTTACTTTTCCCAGCTTCTGCCAAGCTAGCAGTTCGAAAGCACGTAAAAATGCAAGTAGAAAAAATAGGGACCACCTTTGGTGGGAAGGTAACAGCGTTCCGTGCGCCTTCGGCGTCGAGTCATGCCGGCCACATGACCACGGAGACGTCTTCGGACAACGCTGGCTCTTCGGCTTTGAAACGGCGATAAGCACCGCCCCCTAGAGTCAGGAACGACCAGCACATAATATGCGAGGGGAACCTTTACTTTTACCTGAAAGAAGAGTAGGTAACTTGCAATCTCCACACCGCTTTATTGTCTTCCCTCATTGCTGAAAGCAAAAAGTTTGCCCAATCTTTTGAGGCCCATCTGCAGTCCTAACTATCCGTTGAAGTCTGTGTCTGTCTTGTTTGCTTGCTGTGCCAAACCAGACAGTTCCTGGACAGCGCACACTCAGTGACCACCCATCAGGATGCTCGCAGACATGAATTCTGTCCCAAAGGTTGCACGTCAGTGACGTTACAGTGAAGAAGCCCTCCTTGTTTTCTGTCTAAGCCTCTTGGGCGTCTTTCTTTCGACAGATGATCGTAGCACAAGGAAGATCGGAGAAGGTCAGACTTCACCTGAACTCAAGAGTCGAAGCAGGTAACGTGGCCGCTATGAAGACGGGGCGAATGGGACTCTAGTTCGCTTTCCGTCCTTGTTGGACCTCAGCAGTGAGGAACACCGTAGGTGCTTCCTCGCCTCCAAGAACCCCGTTGGAGTCTTCAACACGTTGCGTTGACTCTGCTAGAACGTCTACCAGGCTGTTGGGGATGCTTATGGCCATCACCGAAAAGGTCCTAGCTAGTCCTCTGGTCCAGGCGCGATTCCAGAGGTGTCCTCCTGAGCGGTGACGAAGTTATGGAACTTACTCTCAACATGTGCCAGCAACATTGGAGGTTGCACTAGAGGACTTCTCCACAAGGTCCTTCCTCGCACTTACAAGGACTTGGCTGCTCTTACCTTGAGAACTTCAGGGCCCTCGGGAGGTTCTCTCCAAGGGGCTCTTTGACATGGGTGGATCCTCCTCCAGAGTGGGTCCGTTGCCAGCACTCCTGGCCTCTTTCCCCGTGGAAGGCGGGTGGCCGGATAGTTACTACTCCTGCAATGAAAACACAACCAGTCCACGAAGATGACTGGTAAATACTATTTCACTAAGGATGAGTAGGAGTTTGGGAGCTGTCCCGTCTCTGCCCTCTCTTCACGTCCCAGTATTCCCATTTCTCCTTAGGAACAGCTTTTCTTGCACTAACAATGATGCTGCAGTGATTTGCACCCCTGCAAAACTTCCAGGGAGCCAAAGTGAACTTGGAGTGGATGAGATGGGGGCCCCCTTGGCTGCCCAGGAAAGCCCAACGTCCTTATGGGACTGGAGCCAACTGTACACGCCGAGACTTTCGGGAAAAGGAAACCTAAAAGACTTGTCTCGGTGATTGGAGTTGGAGCCCAAAATGCCCTTCCTGTTTAATAGAAATTGTAGATTGGGTTTGGTGGGCTAAAAAAAGCAGGGTGGAGGGGGAGCCCCCCCCCCCCGGCAAGTAGACCAGATTGTGAAATCAACTCTACAGGATGGTTACGGTTACTTTGAGATCGGCTGTACGGATTATATCCCCTCCCTCCCTTTTTTAATGCTTCATTGCACTACGGAGGTGTCCTTCTGAGTCACTTCCAGATGTTATTTATATGGATGGATGGATGGATGGATGGATGGATGGATGGATGGACGGATGGACGGATGGACGGACCGACCGGTGAGGGGGTGGGTGAAGGGAGGAATGGATGGAGTGATGATTGGATGGATGGATGGGTAAGTGGAGGGAAGGATGGAGGGATGAATGGATGG